TCAGAATTTATTCCATAAGTTAGAGAATTGCTTTTTTGGAGTACGTAATGCATTGTATAAATTCAAACTTAGTACTGGTAAAGTCAGATATATATTTTATATCCGACTTTAATCAATTCAGATTGGGTCTTATTATGGGCTGGGGTAGGTACTTGATATTGAGGCGTACAAGACTATGACTAAAACTAATCCTACCCCTGGTTTAGGGGAGTTAATCTGAGGAGAATACACATATTATAAAATTTCAATAACATGTAATATACTATAGAGCCACGAGCATGAATGTACTATAATTACACACAACATTCTAGATAAATTTCACTATTAATGCTGAACAAAGAATCCACACATAAAGAGCATAACACACATGATTCATTTATATGAAGTTCAAAAACAGGTGTAATTAATCTATGGTACTTCAGAAATCAGAATAGTTGGGCAGGAGAATGTTGAGTAGGCAAGTAGTGAATGCAAGTGGTAAGAGAGGTCTCTGATGCTAGTAATGTTCTTTGTCTTGATCTGAGTGTGGATTATATGGGTTTGTTCACTTGTGAAAATTCATTGAGCTTCACATTTACAATTTGGGCAATTTTCTGTATGCATGTTTTACTACAATATAAAGCTTAAAAAAAAGAATCAAGTGAGACAATTAATTTAGAACAGGAGACTTGAAAAGGAGAGAGGAAGAGAGAAAATAACACAAGATTGAGAAGGACTGACTAATGGAAAATGATTTAGAAGAGGTATAAGTTTGGAGAGTCAAGCTCAAACTTATCATTTTATACTAAGCATGTATTACACATATATAAGAAAAAATGAAATTAAAAATTAAATTAATTAAAGTATAGAAAACTTTATAATCTACCTTGTAGAATTTTGATACCCACAAGAGAAAACATGAGCACCTCTCTCTGCCATACTTCCCTCTACACTGGGTACTACAAAATGAAGACCTCCTTTTGGCTGATCCAAAGAAAAATTGATGTGTATCTTCAGGACTTTTAACTCTGCAAATAAATATACATACACATTGATACATAATAACAGTGGTCTACATAATAAAGGCAGAGACTTAATGCTGAACATAAAATGGAAATCGGAGGTTGAATTTTATCTGAGAAATCACACTACTTACCCTAGTTTAGGTTTTTATCATCTCTCTGCCTATATTAACTCAACAGCCTGCTTCCATCGGTGTTCCTACCTCCAGTCAATTCTAATCACTGCTGATAGTATTTTCCCAAAATATAGCTCTGCTCAAGCCGTATCCTCCTCTCAATCATTTCTGACAATATGTAATGCCTAAAGAAAAAAGTTCAAAACTCCCACATTGGCCTTCCAAATCTATCCCCAAACCTACTTTTCAAGTTTTTTCCTCCTCTTAATTAATATATTCTCCCACAAAATGTTAATCCTAGTTGACTCTGGGGAGTAGAAGTAGGGGGGCAGAGTAGGGAGGACTACCTGAGAATCTGCACTATTATGTTTTTTGTTTGATTTCTACATAATAAAGGTGTTGTTTTCATAACAAGATTAAAGAAATATTTCTTTTAATTTCCCCCAAACATTACAACCATCTAGACCATCTCCAAACCCTGAACATGTAATAATGAACTTCTGTGCCTATCCCCTAAATTGGGTAATCCCCCCACATATGCCACCCCAACCCCACACATACAGAAAACAAAAACAAAACAAAGTGTTTTACTTCCTTGCCTTGATTAATTTTTTAAAGGCTAAAGGTAGGCAGAAGCTTATGTATAATGATTATAATGACAGTAACTTTACAAGAGAGAAAACAAAGATTTAAAGAGTATGCAGGATGAATGTCAGGAACCCTATATTTCACATTTGTCTTTACCACTAATTAGCTAAATCAACTTCAGCAAGTCACTTTCTTTCACTAGACTTAAGATTATTATTCTGTAAAAAAAAAAAAAAAAAAAAAAGGAACTGAACCAGATGATTTTTCAGGATCTTTCTTACTACAAAATGGTATAATTCTACACTAATTTGACATCGTGTGGTTCTCAAATCTTGAAAAATTATTCTATCCATCTCATTTTTTAAAACAACAATGAAATGAGGTGCTTTTATCACAGTCTTTGATTGTCCTGTTTTTGCTTCCTTAACAAGAAAAAGAACTCCCAACCTGTTCTGTATATTTCAATTGGTTAATTTACAATTTTGAAATTATTAGTTTTCATATAAAAAACTGTCTAGTCTCTGAATCTAACATGATTTTAGTGTGCAGTCAATATATTCTTGGTGCTTTACCATCAACGTGTTTCCATAGCTCTGATGGAACCTTAATGCAAAGTTCTCCATTTCCTGCATCAGGATCCACAGCACTAACTGCAGCTGCATAAGCATTAGAAAAATAATTGAGATTTCTCCTGGGGGGAAAAAAAGAGCCAACTTTTAATAACAATAAACCATGTATTTTACCAAGCATTTTCTTAAATATCTTTTGATATCACTTGTATTAAGCATTATATCTTCTTATATAATCTCTAAGAACACTTTTAGCCAAGTAATGGTTGTACTACTCACCATGTTAAAAACTATTGAACTATAAATACAATGGCATACATATTCTATTCACAAATGTTATGTGATTATTATGATTATCACATTCTTCATTAATTTTGGAATGCCAAAGCCATTACACATTTCTGATACAAATGTAAAGAACATATGTAGAATCAAAAAAATAAGTATTCTTTATCAATCTGGAAAAAATTAGAATGAATTCAACAAGCTTTATAATTTGACAAAAATTAAGATGTCTAAAACAAATCAAGATAGGATTCGATTCCTCAAAATGTAATACCACTTATCTCTACTCCACAGAGCAGGACAATGTAAACTTAATGAAGGCAGGGAATTTGGGGCTGATTCTGTTACATTCAGGAGGTATTCAATAAATATTTGTTCAATAGTTATTTGGCCTTATTTCCCATTGGATGAAAACAATATATAGAAGTCTTATGGAAATATGAAAATGTTGCTCTCATCTGATTTTCTAATTTTATTCTATAAAAACAACTTACATGTATATGTGTGTGTGTGTGTATATATATGAACATATTAAATTTCCCCACTGAAATCAGTTAGAGTAATATGAAAGAAATGGGAGAAAGGAAAAAGAAACGAAAAGAGCAAGAAAACAAGAAGACACAAATACCATAAGCCATATCCTCGTTGTGCAATTTTATGCCTACCATCCTGCCATTATATAGAGCCACAAGGTAAAGTTAGTGACATTTCCATAGCTTAATACATTTTCAATCTAGTTAAAAGGCAAGTTTCATATGTTCTGCAGAATGATCCAAAAGGGAAAAGAATGGGAAAAACCATTAAAGACACATTAAAGTTATAGACTCTTAACTTGACAGAGGTGATTCCTCTCCCATCTTCATCCAATTAGGAAGAAAGTAATATAACTATGGCTTTAACAACTATTCAGGGTAACAACTACAAAACACAAGGTTCTGGAAATAAAAAGATTGCTCAACCTATTTTAACAATTTCTTTCTGTTAAACAAATACGTGAAAAAATAGTATAAAAACTTCAGAACAATAATAAAAACAATAACTCTGTGTTTTAACATACTATCTATAGGCATACTTTGGAGATGTTGCAGGTTTGGTTCCAGACTACCACAATAAAGTGAATATTACACAAAGCCGAATCACGCAAATTTTTTTGGTTTCTTGGTGCATAAAAGTTGCCTTTACACTAAAGTGTACACTAGCATTATGTCTAAAAAAACACTGCATGTATCTTAATTAAAAAATATTTTATTGCTAACAAATGCTAACAATTACCTAAGCCTTCAGTGAGTTATAATCATTTTTCTGGTGGAGGGTCTTGCCTCAATGTTCATGGCTGCTGACTGATCAGAGTGGTGGTTGTTGAAGGCTTGGGTGGCTATGGCAATTTCTTAAAATAAGACAACAATGAAGTCTGCCAAATAGATTGACTCTTCCTTTCACGAAAGATTTTTCTGTAGCATGCAATGTTGTTTGCTAACATTTTACCACAGAATTTCTTTCAAAATTGGAGTTAATCCTCTCAAACCCTTCCACTCCTTTATCAACTAAGTTTATGCAATATTCTAAATTCTTTGTTGTCATTCCAACAATGATCCCACCATCTTCACCAGAAGCAGGCTCCATCTCAAGAAACCACTGTCTTTGCTCATCCTTATGAAGAATCTCCTTCATCCATTAAAGTTTTATCATGAGATTGCAACAATTCAGTCACATTCCAGTTCCTTTGCTTTTCCACATTTACAATTACTTCCTCCACTGAAGTCTTAAAGCCCTCAATGTCATCCACAAGGGTTGAAATCAACTTCTTCCATACTCCTGTTAATATTGATATTATGACTTCCTCCCATGAATCATGAATATTCTTAATGGCATCTAGAATGGCGAATCCTTTCCAGACGGTTTTCAATTTACTTTGCCCAGATCCATCAGAGGACTCATGACCTATGGCAGCTATAGCCTTATGAAATATATTTCTTAAATAATAAGACTTGAAAGTCAAAATTACTCCTTGATCCATAGAGCTGCAGAATGGATGTTGTGGTAGCAGGCATGAAAACAACATTAACGTCTTTGTACATCTCCATCAGAGCTCTTGGATGGCCAGATGCATTGTCAATGAGCAGTAATATTTTGAAAGGAATCTTTTTCTCTGAGCAGTAGGTCTCAACATTGGGCTGAAACTATTCAGTAAACCATGCTGTAAACATATGTATCATCATCCAGGTTTTGTTGTTCCCTTTATACAGCACAGGCAGAGTAGATTCAGCATAATTCTTAAGGGCTCTAGTATTTTCAGAATGGTATAAGCATTGGCTTCCATTTAAAGTCACCACCTCCATTAGTCCCTAACAAGAAAAAGCCTGTCCTCTGAAGTCAGGCACTGACTTCTCCTCTGTAGATACGGAAGTCCTAGATGGCATTCCTCTTCTAATATAAGGCTGTTTTGTTTACATAGAAAATCTGTTGTTTAGTGTAGCCAACTTCATCAATGATCTTAGCTAGATCTTCTAGACGACTTGCTGCAGCTTCTACATCAACACTTGCTGCTTCACCTTGTACTTTTATGTTGTGGAGACAGCCTTTCTCCTTAAACCTCCTGAACCAATCTCTGCTAACTTCAAACTTTTCTTCTACAGTTTCCTTACCTGTCTCAACCTTCATAGAATTAAAGAGAGTTAGGACCTTGCTTTGGATTAGGCTTTGGCCTAAGAGAATGTTGTGGCTGGTTTGATCTTATATCCAGATCCCTAAAACATTTTCCATATCAGCAATAAGGTTGTTTAGTTTTCTTATCATTCATGTGTTCACTGGAGTAGCACTTTCAATTTCCTTCACAAAAATTTCCCTTGTATTCACAACATGGC